TTAGTGTCCAATCCCTGGCAATGTCCAGGGTGTCAGTTGACATGTGGACCCAGGATCTGCAGTCTGTTTTCCCTGACTTGGGCATGGATTTGAAAAGTGAAAGTAATATTACGATTACTGTTTTGCATAATTGTTGCAGAGGGATTACAGCAGGGAGAGGCAGAGTGGCCCCTAGAGGGTCTTTGAATATCGCTGGTTTTGCTGCCCCAGGCAGGGTCGCCTTACTCTCGGTCTCTGGGTAGGCCAGCTGAGCTGGGAAAAGGCTTATTAGGGAAGTGAGAGGCTCAGTTCCTCCTGCTGAGGCACAGGGGCACTTGCAGCTGAGTTTCGATTTCTGAGTAGGGAGAGACAGGTGGCATGTTGGAGGAGTCCAAGGGGGCCCTGGTGATGGCCCCTTTTAGGGGGGAGGCTGTTAATGCCGGGGAGGGGTCATTATGAAGTTAGCTTTGAGGCTAATCCAGCCCTGTGTGCCCTTCCCCTGGGAGGGGAGGGGACAGTTGCGGGCAGGCAGTGGCTGGCCTGTGGGGACAGCAGCCCAGACACCTCTGGCCACTGTACTTCCGTTTTCACAACTTTCTCACCCCCTTGGCTTCCCATATGATCATGTGACTGGCAACTGTTTCCCCAAAGGCCTTTGGAAGGTACTTGTGGGAGTTGGCACCAGGCAGGAAGGTGAAGCTGGCTGTCCTCCCGCGGCCACTGAAGTCTCCTCTGCCTCCCAGTTAGCTCACGGTCTCAGATCAAAGCCACGCGCCTTCCTGACTGTCACAACTCGGCTCCTCTCCACTCACCCCTAGTGTCGGGTGTTAGGCCGTGTGTGAGGACGTGAATCAACACACTTGTGTTCCTGCCAGCGTTCATGCTCCCAGTGTGTGCAAGCTGGTGCAGGTGTGCCGCACACACGGTGGGACACGCTGGCTCCGGCAGCGCATCGACTTGCCTTCCGGTTCACTTGTGGAGAGGATTCAATAAATCCAATGCATGCCATGCCTTGGCCTGGGCACAGGGAAGGGCATGGCCTCAGAATAGAAGGTGGCCTAGGCTTAAGATGGCTACCAGACTTCCCTTGGCGTTTGCAGGCAGATCATGTGGATCCTGGTAAGCTGGCTGGCCTTTGTGGCAGGACTGGTGGCTGGAACACAGTGTCCAGATGGTCAGCTCTGCTCTATTGCCTGCTGCCCGGACCCGGGAGGAGCCAAGTACAGCTGCTGCAACCCTCTTCTGGTGAGTGTCTCACAGCCCAGCTGGCAGCCCGAACCTTCTGGAGGGCTACCTTGGGTTGGCCAGAAGAGGGCTGGCACAGATACTCTGGTTTATGTCATCTCTTCTTTCCAGGAAACATTGCCTGTCGTAATGAGCCATCCTCTAAGTGGCTCCTGTCAGAGCCATGACCACTGTCCTTCTGGCTACTCCTGTCTCCGCACTGTGTCCGGGACTTCCAGTTGCTGCCCCTTTCCTCGGGTGAGGGTGCGATTGGCCCGAGGGGGCGGTGCTTAAGATCTGCCTTGACCGCTTTCCTTCCCTCTCCTCGTCCCCGGCGAAGGGGTCTTGCTCACACGGGCTTCTCTGTGTCCCCCAGGGTATCTCTTGTGGTGATGGCTTCAACTGCTGCCCCCCGGGCTTCCACTGTAGCACAAATGGGACAGCCTGCTTCCGAAAATCAGGTGCTGTGGGGCACGGGATGGGGGCATCGTGTGGGCCGGAAATGCCCCGGAGCCCAGCTGCCGGGGTGGTCCCGATTCCTGTTCTGCTCTGAACAGAGGGGCAGTTCTGAGCAGAAGGGGACAGACAGGGATGCAGAATTCCAGGTGTTGGGACCTGGAGAGGCACGCTGGGGTGATTTCACACCCGCCCACTTTGACTGGATGCCTCTACCATCTCTCCGAAGTGGGGTCTAGCTTGTGGGAAGGGTGGCTTGGGATCTTGGGCCGTCACCTAAGCCCTGGTCCCAGCTGTTAGACCTACTGCAGTTCCTTTAGTGATGATGCTGGCAGTGACCTTGACTGACTGGATTGGTGGGATCCTGGATTCTCCCATCTGCAGGTAACTCCGTGGGTGCTATCCAGTGCCCGGATAGCAAATTCGAATGTCCCGACTCCTCTACCTGCTGCATTATGATTGATGGTTCCTGGGGATGCTGCCCCATTCCCCAGGTATGGGGGGGGAAGTGGGGGTGACTCACAGGTAGTGGGGGTAGAGCTGGGAGCTGGGGCTGGAGAAGATGGATTATGGGCCATCTATCTCTTCTCAGGCTTCTTGCTGTGAAGACAGAGTACACTGCTGTCCCCAAGGGTCCACCTGTGACCTGGCTCACACACGATGCATCAGTTCTGTGGGCACCCACGAGCTATTAAAAAAATTCCCTGCACAAAGGACCAACAGGGCAGGTGAGGAGGTGGGAGGCCATCCAGCTAGCACTTGGGGGTGAAGCCACATTTAACTCCTGGCTGGAAAGAAGTTCCCCTCCATCCTGGCCGCTTCTCCTGCCTCATGCCTCATTCCTCTTCCAGTGGATTGGCATGATTCCGTGGTGTGTCCGGATGCACAGACCCAGTGCCCCGATGATTCTACCTGCTGCGAGCTGCCCACTGGGAAGTATGGCTGCTGTCCAATGCCTAACGTGAGTAAAGGGCTGGAGCCAACTGGGCCCGGACACAGCCTTACAAGGGGGCTCCAAGAACTGGGCTGATTGCTGGGCGCCTCAAGGCCCATGCTGCCCCCTGGTGGAAGATTGGGGTAGTGTCAGCCATCAGTCTGGCTTGCTCCCTGTGCTCACTAGAGACTGGAATCCAGAGACCCCCCCTCTTTGTCCCCACCCAGGCTATCTGCTGTTCCGACCATCTGCACTGCTGTCCCCACGACACGGTATGTGACCTGATCCAGAGTAAGTGCCTAGCCAAGGACTACACCACGGACTTCCTGACCAGGCTGCATGGATATCCAGGTACAGGGGCAGACTGGACTCCCATTTCCTCCGCCCAATAAAGGGGGGCTCGGCTCAGGTCCGGAAACGGGTGTGGGGGTGGGTGTCGATGGCTGCGTGGAGGGACCTGGCAAGTGCATCCATCCCCTCCCCACGGGTGCTGCCTGAGGCTCACTGTGGGTTGATGTCACCAAGCGCTCCATCTGCAACCCCGGGTTCCGGTGCCTTTGATGACGTGTCTTCTGCCCACAGTGATAGAGGTGAAGTGTGACATGGAGGTGAGCTGCCCGGATGGATACACTTGCTGCCACCTCATCACTGGGGCCTGGGGCTGCTGTCCCTTCACCAAGGTACCCGGGAGCCGCGGGCACACGGGTCCCAGCGGAGGGAGCTGCCAGCCTGGCGCCAGTGCTTTTGGGCCTTTTCTCTGTCCACCGTAGGCCGTGTGCTGTGACGACCATGTCCACTGCTGCCCGACAGGGTTCGAGTGTCACACAGAGACGGGCACCTGTGAAATGGGAGCCCTCCACCTGCCCTGGATGAAGAAGATCACAGCCTTTCCCAGCCCGCCGCACCCACAAGTCTTCACGAGTGATGTCCCCTGTGACGACTTCACGACCTGCCCTCCTGGCAATACCTGCTGCAGACTCAGTTCTGGGGACTGGGGCTGTTGTCCTGTCCCAGAGGTACAAGGATGGGGGTCAGCACCGTGGGGGTGGGGAGAGCACCTGGACCTTGGCGGGTGGGTGGGCAGGAGTGTCTGTTGCTTTGTGTGTCCACGGTCCGCCTAGTCCAGGGTGGTGCCCTGGGCTGTGGTCTGTCCCCAGCTGGAGGAGCCGTGGGCAGGCCTCCCAGAGTCCCTTGGGAGAACGCTCTTCTCCGCCCCCCACCCCTAGGCTGTCTGCTGCTTAGACCACGAACATTGCTGTCCGCACGGCTTCACGTGTACAGCCGAGGGGTACTGTCAAGATGGGGACAGAATAGTGGCTAGCCTGGAGAAGATACCCGCCCACCACACATCCATGTCCCTAAGTGAGGATAACAGTTGTGACCAGCACATCAGCTGCCCAGTAGGCCAGACCTGCTGCCCTAGCCTGAAGGAAGGCTGGGCCTGCTGCCAGTTGCCCCATGTGAGTTCCCACCCACTGCCCTGGGAGAAGGGGGCTGTGTTCGTGGTCTAAGCAGGGTGATTGCCCCTTGCCCCGCTCTCAGGCCGTGTGCTGTGAGGATCACCAGCACTGCTGCCCAGCTGGGTACACCTGCAACGTGAAGGCCAGAACCTGTGAGAAGGAGGTGGACTCCGTCCAGCCTGCTGCCCGCCTGACCCTCGGCCCTCACATTGGGGGTGTGGAGTGTGGCGAGGGGCATTTCTGCCACGATGACCAGACCTGTTGTAGAAACCACCTAGAAGAGTGGGCCTGCTGTCCCTACCTAAAGGTCAGTGCTGTCCCTGACCCTGGGGCTGGGGGTGGCCGTGGGCTGGGCCCTGCCTTCTCCGGTCCTCACTCTCCCTTGGCCGTCCAGGGCACCTGCTGTGTAGACGGGCGACACTGTTGCCCCGTTGGCTTCCACTGCTCATCTAAGGGAACCAAGTGTTTGCTTCAAAAGAAGACCTTTCGCTGGGACATGTTTTTGAGTAATCCAGCCCCGAGACCGCTGCTCTAAGGAGGGGCTAAAGACTAAGAAACTCCACAGCCCTGGGCACCCTGATCAGAGGGTACCCACCACTCAGGCCTCCCTAGCACCTCTTCCTCTAGACCTACCCATTCTGAGTCACCCCATCACCATGGGAGATGGGGCCTCAAACTAAGACCTTCTCTTATGCAAAGAACGCTGTGGAAAAAAGCCCCATTTCAAACTGCCATTTCTTCAGATTTCTGTGGACCTTGTGGCCAGGTGCTCTTCCCGATCCACAGGTATTGTGTGAGCTCGCTTGTGTGTATGTACACACGTGTGCGCGCGCGTGTTGGCTCCAATAAAGTTTGTACACTTCTTAGCGGTGTCTGATTTGGTGCTCTGGGGTCCTCCAGTGTCAGCATCCCCCAGAGAAACACACACACGCACACACACACACATCTTCAACCTCAACAGCTTTGTATTTTTGTGTCTAGAGCGTCACCATCACATTACCCACTTAGTCCCCAGGACCACCCCAGCCACCAGCCCTGTGACATCCAAGCGGCAGCCCTCCCCTCCCAAGGGTCCACAGAGATTGCCCCTCCCTTCCCAGCCCTCACCCTAGCCGCTGAAGCTGGGCCGCCCCTCCTGCTCGCCCACAATAGATCTTTCTATGTACAGCCACGTTTATCCAGACACTGCTCCCCACCCCAGCCCTCCTCCCCAGCCCCTCCCGAGGGGGACCGGGCCCCTCCCACCACCCTCTGCTTAGAGGCCGATCCAGGGTCCCTTCCCAAGACACTTCCCCCAGCACATACCCCAGATGGGCTCAGAACCCTTCTCCCGGCTAAGAGCGCGTGCCCCCCGCAGCACCCCGGGGCGCGCACTCTGGGGACCTTGCACTGGCGGCAGGGGCGGCGGCCGATCCCCGGGCCGCGCTACTTGACGTTGAACACCATCAGCGGCCGCTCCTCCCGCCGCTGCCACGGGCTCTTCTTGTCGCCAGCCTCGTCGCCCACCTCCGCCCCCAGCTCGTCCTCGGGACTGGTGAGCGAGTCGCGCCGTAGCTCGCTGGCGCTGCTGCGGGAACTGTCCCCACGGCTGCGGCCCCGACCCCGGGGTACCGTGGCCGCCCGACCCTCGGGCGCCACCACCTCGTCCAGTAGGGGCGTCAGCGAGTTGTCCTCGGGCGAGCAGAGGCCCGTACGGCTCTCGCTGCTGCTGGGCTCCGTGTCCTCGCTGAGCGCCAGGCGCGGGGGCGCGGGCGGCG